ATATATATTTAATTATTTAGGTGCTCCTATGTTGGGTGCATATATGTTTACCAGGGCTATATCCTCTTCTTGGATCAACCCCTTTAGTATTATGTAGTGACTTTTATTGTCTCTGGTGATGGCCTTAATTTTGAAGTCTGTTTTGTCAGGTATGAGTATTGCCACTCCAGCTTTTTATTTTTCCACTTGCATGGAAAAATGTTTTCCATCCCATCCTCTTATTCTGTGTGAGTTTTTTATTCTGAGGTGGGTCTCTTGTAGACAGCATATTTTGGGGTTATGTATTCATATCATATCCATTCATGTACCCTCGGTCTTTTGATTGGAGCATTTAATCCATTTACATTTAAGGTCATTATTGATAGGTACTCATATATTGCCCTTTTAATTCTTTTTCTTTTTAATCTTCACTGGAGGATATCTTTTCATTGATTTTTAGAGAGAGTGGAAGAGAGACAAAAAGACAGAGAGAAATATTGATGTGAGAGAAATGTGGATAGGTTGCCTCCTGCATGAGACCCGGGCCAGGGAGAAGTCTGCAACCAAGGTACATGCCCTTGACTGGAATTGGACCCAGGACCCTTTGGTCTGTAGGCTGATGGTCTATCCACTGAGCCAAACTGGCCAGGGCCATTTTAATTTTTTATGCCTATGTTTCTCTCTCTATTTCTTCTTTACATTACAGCAGTCCTTTTAGCATTTCTTGCAGTGCTGGTTTGGTGGTGAAAAACTCCTTTAGCCTTTTTTTGTCTGGGAAGCTCTTTATTTCACCATCTATTTTGCTTTTCATTACCTGGAATACTTCATGTCATTCCTTTCTGGTTTGTAGAGTTTCTGGTGAAAAATTAGCTGACAACCTTATGGGGGCTCCCTTGTAGGTAACAAATTGCTTATCTCTTGCTGCCTTTAAGATTCTTTGTCTTTAATTTTTGGCATTTTAATTATGATGCGTCTGGGCATGGGCCTGTTTTGGTACTTCTTGCTTGGGACTCTCTGTGCCTCCCGAACTGTGTGACTTTTTCCTTCACTAGGTTAGAAAAGTTTTCTGCCATTATTTCTTCAAACATGTTCTCTATTCCTTGTTCACTTTCTTCCTTCTGGCACTCCTATTATGCAAATATTGTTATGTTTCATATTGTCCCACAGCCACCTTCCACTGTGTTAGCCTGTAAAGAAATATTAGTTAGGCTGTAAAGAATTATTAGTGCTATGTCATTCTTCATAGTTACTATATCTTTTCTCATGCAGTAGAGCATCTTTGCCATCATTACTATGAACTCCATGTCTGATAAATTTCCTATCTCTATTTCATTTATCTCTTCTTCTAGAGAATTCTCTTGTTCTTTTGTTTGGGGGTTGTTTCTTTGTCTCCCCATTTTGGCTGCCTGTTTTATGTTTTTTAGTATGTATTAGGTAGATCTGCTACACCTCCCAATCTCTAGTGCAGGACAGTGTCAGACGTTATTTCTGACTGGCCCTGGGTACCCTGTTTGGAGCCATCAGCAATGCAAAGCTTGTGGCTCTCTCTGCTGGGGCTAGGTGCCTTTGGAAAGGACCAAGATATGCACCAAGGTCTGCTTTTCCTACCTCAGAGCCCAAAATTAGATCAGGCAAAGACTCAAAGTCTCCAGAAACCCACCTCTTCCTGCAGTCTGGTGGTATTCAGTCTTGATTAGCTTCAAGCTATCGACCACAGGGTGGGACAAGAGGTTTTCCAATAGGGTGGGGGCAACTTCCTTCCCCCAGGCAAAAACTGCCTGTATAGCAAAGGTCGCCAGAAAAAATAATGTCCTCTACAGTGAGTCTTCAGTTGATTATTTAGGACAGGGGTCCTCAAACTACGGCCCACCGGGTGTTTTTGCTGCCCCTGTGTGCATAGGAATTTGTTCATAGGTTTTTTTTAAACTATAGTCCGGCCCTCCAACAGTCTGAGGGACAGTGAATTGGCCCCCTGTTTAAAAAGTTTGAGGACCCCTGATTTAGTATGTTTTTTCTGTGTGTTAATTGCAATTCCAGTTTGGTCCTGGAAGCGTGTCAGTGTAGCTTCCACTTACTCTGCCATCTTGGAACCTCCCTAGAGCCTTCTTAATGCTCTACACAGGGCGCTTTGGTTGTCCATCCTGAGAGCTGGAGGTCTGGACCGTGTCTTTCTGTCCACAAGACCCACATAAAGTGTCCATCAGGGAAGCACCAAGTGCCCCCTGATCTGGGTCCCAACCTGCTGGAGGGCCCCAGAGAAGCCCAATGTGCCTCAAAGCCAAAGCATCAGCCCCCTTAATGATACACTTCCCCAGAACACGTGGCTGTGTGATCTGCTGTAGGTCACAGAAGATAAAGTGTCCTTGGCTCCCATGGTGGCCCCAGCCTTGTCCATTCTTTTGGAGATATTTTGTATATCACCAAAGAGCTTTTGATATCTTTTGGTTATATCAATAACTATTTTTTTAGCCACTCCTTCTAATGACACTTAAACTTCATTTTCCTGTTTTTAGGACATATTTAACACATTCCCAGAATTTATACCCGAGATAATCAGATTTATGTCTTTAAAGTGTCTTAATTGCACTTGACTATTTAAAAATGGGTTTTTTTTTAAAGAAATGTCATCTTTTTAAAAATATATATTTATTGATTTCAGAGGAAGGGAGAGGGAGAGAGAGAGAGAGAAACATCGATGATGAGAGAGAATCATTGATTGGCTGCCTCCTGCACGCCCCCTACTGAGGATTGAGTCCACAACCCGGGCATGTGCCCTTGGCAGGAATCGAACCTGGGACCCTTCAGTCCTCAGGCCGGTGCTCTATCCACTGAGACACACCAGCTAGGGCTAGAAATGGGTTTTATAGGCTCTGGCCAGGTAGCTCAGTTGATTGAGCCTCATCCCAATACACCAAGCTTATGGGTTTGGTCTCTGGTTAGGGAACATACAAGAATCAACCAATGAATGCATCAATCAACAGATCTCTCTCTCTCTCTCTCTCTCTCTCTCTCTCTCTCTCTTTCAAATCAATACATATGAATAAAAATGGATTTTACAGAGGGCTTATGCTCAGCTATCGAGGCCTCCCCAGACGGTGAGGATGGAAAGAGGCCGGAGCTATCACATCAACGTGTTAAACTCCATGGCACTGTGTTTTTAAAGCTTTAAAAAAAATAAATAAAGGATTAGGGATCACGCAATGCTAATTAATACATCCTTTGCTTGAGTTGAAGAAATATATATCTATTTTTTGTGGTTTCTCTCGCCTCCATTCTCTTCCTAGAGCCTGTGCCTTCCAAAGCTGAGATCACTAAAAAAAGAGTGCTCCTAATATAACCCGAGTCTGGGCAGAAGGCAGACAGCCTTCAGGATAATAAAATACAGGAGATATGCCAACAGCCCAAGATATCTGATCTATGGGCGGAGCTCCACCTGGCGACCAGATGATCGTGTGGCCGCCTTCCACCCCACCTGCGGGCTTTGACGCTCCCCCCACCCTGTCTCCAGCACTGGGTCTGGGCAAAACACAGAAACCCGCTCCAAAGGCCCAGCCTGGGGTGTGTACCCAAGGTCATGGCCAAGGGCAGCCATGTCAGGGACAAGGTGAGGGATGAAAGGACCAGGCTGAGGGGGTGGACAGGGCGGCGGGGAAGAGTCCCAGGGAGGACTCCTTCTGCTTGTGCACCAAGCGGGGTTATTTCAGACTGAGGACGAGTGTGGGAGAGACACTGAGAAGACAGACAAATACGATTGTCCATAAAGGGTTCCCTAGCCCAGCTGGCGCGGCTCAGTGATTGAGCATCAACCTACGAACCAGGAGGTCACGGTTCGATTCCTGGTCAGGGCACATGCCCGGGTTGCAGGATGCCCAGTGTGGTGCGTGCTGGAGGCAGCCGATCAATGATTCTCTCTCATCATCGATGTTTCTCTCTCTCTCTCTCCCTCTCCCTTCC